CGGAAATTCCGTCGACAATTCAGTGTGTAAATAATGGCCTAACAATTAGTATGAAAAACGTCAGTCAGCATTTGACTTAATGAAAGATTGTATTTGCTAACAAGGCCATTGTATCGATCATAGAACTTACGAAATAATGACTTTAATCAAGACTGCTGATATTCTTGTTTCATCAACTTGTTTGTCAATAATTTACCTCGTTTTAGAAATTGTTCTTACGTAGAGCATGCTCTTGTGTATCGAATAATATAAACCCCGCATGCAGGTGATAAGGGTATATTGCTGCATAAGTAAGGGAAGTTGACGATTGAAAAGTTAAAGTCATCACGTTTATCATAAAGCTTTGTTGTAAGATTACCATTAACGTTTTTTTCTAATAAAATATCCAAATATGAAACAGATTTGTCAGACTCTGTGGTATCTTTTATTTCAAGCTCACCGGGATATATCATGTCGACATAGGAATGGAAATGACCATTGTTAATTGACAATACGTCGTCGATATATCTAAATGTCGAGTTGAAGGCCACAGCAAGTGTTTTCTTGTGGGAATTCCAATAGATTGTTGGAAGACCTGGTCTCCAAAAACCACATAGATATTGTCAATCAGAATCTCGAGCATCTTTTTTATGTCAACATCAGAGTACTTGTTTGTACAATCAGATTGTTTTTTAACAACGTAATTTTGCAAATGAACAATGACAAGGTAAGTAAATTTACTAGTTCCATTTTTATTGAAAAAAAACAGCTGTCAACGATGTCAGAAAGTCTGGACTTTAATTTATCGTGGGGAATAGTTGTATATAAAGTTGAAAAGCCGTAAGTTTTTATGTTGTTTATTTTGGTAAAATTTTGTGATTTTAAATGTTCCAAAAGTTCCTTGGAATTTTTTAGTATCCACATTTGATTTACACCACTTGAATATATTGTTGCACAGTACTCTTGAAGTTTCTCCTTCACTACTGTTAATATCTTAGTGAGGAGTAAAGAAAGAGGCTTGGTAGAACATTTACTGGAACTCGCTATGAATCTTTTTTGTAAGGATTTTTATGAAGTTTCGGAATCCAACATAGATATGGTAATTCAAATTCATTTTGGTTGTTTGGAATATTAAAAATATTCAAAACTGACATAAGATTTTGAAGAATCTCCTCCTTAGAAAGGGAGCTATGGGTATAAGTTGGATTACCACTTGTAGAATTAAATCCCAGTTCCTCTAAAATACAATTTATATAATGAGCCTTACAAACAAAGACAATGTTGTTACCTGCTTTGTCAGCAGGGACCAGTACATACTGATCGTGTAATCTATCTAATTCTTTTTTCACTTCTGATTTATTGAGTACAGTAGGATAGATGGTTTTCATACTGCCCCTCAATCATTTAATGCGAGATGATTTTAACATATATCTGATACATTTAATCCATTCTGACCAAGTGTTAAGTTCGTTTTCATGTCTGACCCAACGCCTGGCGTAATCCTCTACAGAACCCATTATATGTATGAAATTACTACGCCACTTGAAGGATAGGGGTTCCCTATATTTAGAACCTTTTGAAATTAGTGATCTAAGGTCCTCATTATTAACTATATTTACGTCACCAGTAATAATATCCAGCAGGACTATAGTTATAGGGTGAAGAACATGAACACGAAGGAGGATTATGTTTCAGATATTCGATATCGAGGTCCTGTAAAGTTGTCTTGTAATTAAAAAGTTTGGAAGCAATAGTCGATGTATGTTTGTAGGAAATACAAGGTGTAGTCTTCAACTTGAAATATGGTGGAATACAAGACTGGGCCCTTTTGTGATTAAGAATATTACTGATATAAACTGCGTCTATTCCTTTGTTGGCATATTGGAGTTTAAGGAAAAAACGGGTTGTTTTAGCTGCATTTCTTCTGTAAAACATGGCGGTTTAGAAAGTCTATGATTTGCAATATCCAAAATCACATATCCGAGCCTGTATTCTGGTGTCGAGGAATCAAAAAATGGACTTTCCTTGACCATTTCAAGTAGACTATTCAAAAGTTTCAAAGGGACAGAGTAAAGTTTGGTGTGAATGTTTTGTTTGTTTGTATGTTGTTTAACGTCCCTCTCGAGAAATTTTCACTCATATGGAGACGCCACCACTTGCCGGTGGAGAGCTGCAAATTTTGTCCTATACTCGGCACTTACGGCCATTGAGCAGTGAGGGATCTTTTTCGTGGCAGCATCTACTGCGACACGGGACCTCGGTTTATACGATCTCATCCGAAGGACCGGTCTTCACGTCCCACATTGGAATTCGAACCCGCGACGTAAGGATCAACTCCTTACTTCGCGACTCTAGAGCAGACGCTCTAACCACTGCACCACGCGGGCGACTGGTGTGAATGTGATGACGACCAAACTGTTGATTTAGTAACGAATCAAAAGAGACATCGTGTATTAAAGGTTTATTATAAGACCTATACCCATGACTACGTTTACGTCTCTGTGTATGGTTGAAAAGTCCCATCACATTAACATTGTTACACTGTGGACTGGAAAGATTCCCAACACTATCAACACTATTGTCATTGCTTCCATAGGGAAAGACCGTCCCTAGTTTTCTAATCCAAAATTCTTCTCTTTGTCTACAGAAAAGTGTACTCAGTGATGGATTGTATGATGGTAAATCTTTTCTAGAATTCTAACTTTCATTGACAAAATTGAATGACCAGGTAAATTAAAGTGCTTGTAGAGAAGCTGCTGGTCCATGTTTGTTTATTTGAAATCTCTGACCCGATATTCTTTTCTGATGTGAACCATTGGTTTCACCAACATAAATAAGTCCACAAAGATTACATTCTATTCCGTAGACAACATTAGAAGATTAACAGTTCAGATTTTCCCAAGTTTTGGTATAGAAGCTCTATCCAGTAAGACTACTAGTGAAAGAAGTGTTAGTTATCAAAATGTCACAGGTTTTACAGTTTTTGGCATTTTGAAATAGAAGACATGGGATCGGAAAACGAATCTTTAAATATGTCTCTTATAGAAACTTTACATTCTTTCAAATTTTTGTATGAACTATCGGTTCTATACCAAAACTGGGAATCTGAAAACTGCACATAAGACTTATTTAAAAATATTTACATTTGCAAATATTTTTCCGTGATCCTATTAAACAGAAAATATGTTAACTTCTGTATGAACTTATAAGGAGGGTCAGAGGTCATAGCATGACCAATTCACACTACGAGATGATATCTTGCCTGCATATTTCTGTCACGATGACTTCCAAGTTGATAGCGATAAAACTGTAAAAATAATTGATGTGCACAAACAAGCTCCAAAGATTTTTGAAGATGTTTACTGGCCTCCTCATTCATAGATTTACTTCAGAGGGTAAGAAGACTACAATAATAAAAAGTCATCTTACAAAGTGGTAATTAGAGGCAAACAACTTAAAATTATAAACATCAAATTGACAAAGTTGCTACAAACTAACATTCCACGTTTTACACAATGCCAAAATTCGAGAAAATAAGGATTTACGACAGTAAACATTACATTCACAGATATATGTTCATTGTAGAATATATCAATTGACTTTTTAGTACAAGTAACTTTATGTTAAGGTCATGGAAATGTAACAAAATAATACAGATGATAATATCTAATCCAGTTTTCACATAATGCCATGACCATGTGCACTTTCCAATTCATGTTTCATTAAAATATGCAAAAACAGTTCGACGACAATAAGCGTAGCTTTACATATTTGATAACTAAACAGTATTACACATTTTGCACATAAAACTTACTCTTTGGACTGTCTAATTGTAATGGGAAATCCCGGCATGAATTTGTTGAAATAAGTTGAAGAACATTTAGTCTTTTAAAAATTATCTATTCATCATATCACAACATAACTGGCTCTGAAATTAATATAAAACATACAATAACATTAGAATAGTACAATAAAATATAATAGTAGATATACATAGGAATCATTATACAAATTGTGTTCTAAATAAATATTTCACTCTATCAGCTATGGAATTTAATACGCTCTACATGTGTAAAGGGAAATAACTCTTACAAGCTTAATCTTAAAATTCACTTTCCACAATCGTGAAGAGTTATCTTTCTTATATAATAAAATAACAAAATAACAATGCATACCGGTTTATGGAACCAAGTCCATCTGACAAACTGTATGGGTCTGTATGATGATACACTATATTAATAATAATAAATTCCTAAAGATATGCTCTTTACTATAACTCAGTATTTACAAAGAAACTCCAAAATATTTCTTATGAAAATATTTATCCATATACATTTATTAGGATCTTAATATATTAAACTTAATAGACATATCAGATTTATCCATATCTGATTTAATCATAGGTATAAAATATTCTATACACATAATTTTTACCAAGTAACAATTTCTTAGTTTCTCATGTATATCTTATTCTAATTAATTAGATTAAAAGGTTAAGATATTAGTACTTACATTTCTGTCTCTGTCCAGGAATTTAATGTCAGGAAATATAATAGTTACAATACTGTAGATTTCAATAAATTCAGTAATTCACCAGAAAAACTTCTGTGTGTCTACATGACTATGAAATTTAAATCTGAGTAATATTCACACTGGACAATGTAAAACTTTCTGACCAATGGAATGCAAGTGTACAACCAATGAATGAGTGTAGGTATGAAATGTGTAGGTGGATCTAAAGGGATGGGTGGCATAACTTAATACTTTATTAGTAATAGAAAGACTTAAGATTTTATTTATTTATTTAACTATTTTAAATTAATTATATCTATTTATCATTTATTAAATTATTTATTAAAATATACATCTACTACAGACCCCCCCCCCCCCCACCATCAGAAAATGACGTCCCCGTCATTTACTTAATGGGACATTACCTGGTAATATGCAGCAACACATATACTTACGAAACACTGCACTCACTTCTCACTGCATCTGAAATATATACAAATAAAATCGAATTAATTGTTCTTCAAAATATCAAGCATTGTGCGAACAATTTCGTCTTCATATTTCCTCATTTCCTGGGACTTCTTCAAGTCATGTAGAAATTCACATTTCTTCTTCCATTCCAGTGAATGTTGTTGGGTAAATACATATTCCTGGTTGTTCATCCAGGTAGGCTTTCTCCTCTCCCTTGTACTTCTTCTTGGTATCTGTCTATCCTCAACTGACCTCATACTTTTGTCTTCATCCACATGATCCACTTCTGCATCTTGTTGCTGATGCTGCTCATGCGGAATTTCTTCTACAGCATTCTCCTGCTCCTGTCCTCCTCTAGGAATTTCTTCTTCAGCATCTTACTGCTGTTGCTATTCCCGTGGAATCTCTGTATTAGGTTCCTGACCCTCAACATTACCTGCACCATGATGTTTCTCTTCTTCTGTCTGGTTCTGTATAACATCTTTTTGTACAGTATGTGATGATCAACAGTAATTATCTGTGTGTTGTGTACACCAATGCACTAACCAACTGTCTCTAGACTGGGATAAGACTGATGAATTGAGACTTAACCCGAATTTCCTCAGATCAATACATAACTGACACCTGTAGTCAATTTCTAACCTTCCAATTCTAGGTCAATGTCAATGGCAGTTATAATTAGTGGTATGAGTTCTCAATAATAATATTATAGAACCACTAAATACACAAAATATACCACAAAGTAATTAAACTAATTAATAGCAAAATGTCAATGCACAGTGACCCTAAATACTCCACGAGTTTGGGTCAAGTAAATGTTCAAACACTGAAATAAAGTAAATAAATAATAACTATATACACCTTAAATAAAGGAGTCAAATATATTTACTTTATCCAACGCTGTTGGTCCATGGTTTCCGCGAATGTTGATCGACGAAGGTCTTTACAGTTAAATATGTGCACAATGTAAACAAAGAAAATTCAGGTTACTCACTGATCAGTGTCACTGAAATGCTTGTTCGGATATTTCCGGAAATGTTCAGAAGAATGCATGCACTGAGCTCATAGAAATCGGATACTTCCGGAATTGTTTTAACCATTGGTGATTCGTTGTGGCGAAGAGGAGCACTCGATCTAGATGATTGAGGTTCATTTTGCGTTGGGCGCCATTTTTGTAATGGGAAATCCCGGCATGAATTTGTTGAAATAAGTTGAAGAACATTTAGTCTTTTAAAAATTATCTATTCATCATATCACAACATAACTGGCTCTGAAATTAATATAAAACATACAATAACATTAGAATAGTACAATAAAATATAATAGTAGATATACATAGGAATCATTATACAAATTGTGTTCTAAATAAATATTTCACTCTATCAGCTATGGAATTTAATACGCTCTACATGTGTAAAGGGAAATAACTCTTACAAGCTTAATCTTAAAATTCACTTTCCACAATCGTGAAGAGTTATCTTTCTTATATAATAAAATAACAAAATAACAATGCATACCGGTTTATGGAACCAAGTCCATCTGACAAACTGTATGGGTCTGTATGATGATACACTATATTAATAATAATAAATTCCTAAAGATATGCTCTTTACTATAACTCAGTATTTACAAAGAAACTCCAAAATATTTCTTATGAAAATATTTATCCATATACATTTATTAGGATCTTAATATATTAAACTTAATAGACATATCAGATTTATCCATATCTGATTTAATCATAGGTATAAAATATTCTATACACATAATTTTTACCAAGTAACAATTTCTTAGTTTCTCATGTATATCTTATTCTAATTAATTAGATTAAAAGGTTAAGATATTAGTACTTACATTTCTGTCTCTGTCCAGGAATTTAATGTCAGGAAATATAATAGTTACAATACTGTAGATTTCAATAAATTCAGTAATTCACCAGAAAAACTTCTGTGTGTCTACATGACTATGAAATTTAAATCTGAGTAATATTCACACTGGACAATGTAAAACTTTCTGACCAATGGAATGCAAGTGTACAACCAATGAATGAGTGTAGGTATGAAATGTGTAGGTGGATCTAAAGGGATGGGTGGTATAATTTAATACTTTATTAGTAATAGAAAGACTTAAGATTTTATTTATTTATTTAATTATTTTAAATTAATTATATCTATTTATCATTTATTAAATTATTTATTAAAATATACATCTACTACATAATTACAACGAAACAAGTGGCAAATTTGTCGTTGACAAAATGCGGGATCTTTCCGGATGTACACATACATAATCTGAACACTATAAAATCTGAACCGTAACGGATAATATCCGTAACACCACAATTGAAACATATGGATTTTTTTTTTCATTCAACAGATATCGATGTTCATTAGATCTGTTTTCGGTGTGAAGAATGATTTGAATAAAGAATTAGCCTAAAATCGTGCTTACCTTTTAAACCCGAAATTCCTTTGAAGGTATGTATTTCCTGAACATTTTCTGAACTGGACAGCCCAATGTAAATATTCAAATGTTTGAGCGAGGCGAATTTTTTACGTGATCATATTAACTGAGAAGCCCTGTGGGCTTCACATTTTATCCCGTGACCAAACAATTTCATTTTGAACTTTTTAACGCTGTTGTTTATTTCTTAATTTAAAAAAATGCTTTATTTAAAAAATCGTTAATGAAAACGATGTTTGAATCCTGATGTATATTTATTTAAAAAATAAGTCTCATAGAAAAACTACTAAGATTAAAATTATTGAAAACATTACTTAATTAATTTTCAAATGTTATTTCTTGAATATCTGTCCTCTGTATATCCCACCATATAACAAACTCTTCTTGGCAATGCAGATAGAGAGGCAATTAAAGTGGATTTACGATTAATGCTTTCTATCCAGTTGCACTCATATAAAAGATTCGAATGATCCATTTGTGAGTGTGTTCATTCTGAATATTGTAGCTTCCTTAAACATGTGACATGGTTTTTGCTGTAACGAATATTGATAAGACCGGAGAGATCCCGAATAGTCTCCACAAATCTGTTGACAGATACCCAGTATTTGCCATGAAATATCACGGAGTTCATGTGGTACATGTAATCCGTCATCACTGAGTATAAACGTTTGTAGATCCTGTAGAAGTTTTTGTGTTCTGTCTGCGTCACCCAGTCTGCTGTGATTCAATATCAATAACATTTGTAACATCACTAGGGGTGGGATCATTACATAAAGCAACCCATTCTTGATGCAGATTTTCTGTTCTAGCTCTAGCTCGTCAATATAAATATAGTTTACCGATAATGTAATATCCCAAACAAAAGCTCTCTTCATTTTATCATTCATAAAAAGCATCGCTTTCTTTCGACTGTACACATCTGCTGCATTTACACGATTTCCATATATAATATACGGCACATTAATTCTCTCCTGTGCTCTCTTTAAACAACTGAGTGACTGTTCATAACTACGTGTTCTGTAGAAGTAAATAGCAAGATACAAAATGTCTGAAACATAACCTAGTGTACACGACAGTTTTAACAATCCGGATGCTTTATTACCTGCATAGTAAACCTTATTGCGAGTTTTAATTGGATAAACTCTATTCTGAATCCAGATGGCAGTGGCACGTAACACCAAAGATGTTAAACATTGTAATGTACCTGCTTGAAACGGCGTCAAATTTTCCCTAACCAATCGCTCTATTTGTACCATGTTAAGATAGAATTCTTCAGTACAACTAATGAAAATACATAGCTTCCCTAGTTCCGAATACATGCTAATATCTAACTTCCTTTTACATCTGATACAGCTCTCTCTTGCCAGTGTACAAATTTTCAGTATCGATGTTCCGTTTAAAATTGCGAAACTTAGGTATGGCCTCATAGTTTGACTTAAGAGTAGACAAGATATCCCCTTACAATACAAATCATACAGCTGACTGAACAACGAAGTTTGTACAGAACCAGTGACTTTCTGTCGAAACATGTTGTTTTGTGGAATAAAAAAGTTAGGACAATTTCCAATACGTACCCAGGATATCAATAATTTAAAGCATGCCCAGAAACAATACAATAGGTTTTCAGGTGTCCAAGTCAAGGAATTATTAGTCTGAATTACCCAAAATACAATTGTTTTCGTAAAATATGAACAAATTACTGGTGTATTATTTTGAAAGTTAATTACTTCTGTGAGAAAAATTTTTAAGAGACCATAACACAAAAACTGACAGTGATTCATGGAGTAAATAAGTTTTTGTTCCGCTTGCGAAAATGAGATTCTCCATTCTTCTCCATTTTCAGGTGTGCTGCCAATCGGTACAACATGGAATCCTTTGATTAATATTTCCGATATAACGATCTCCGAGGGCCAGTTATGTTGACGACATCTCTGTATCCATGGTAATACATTTTTTGGCCATTCCTCCGAATGTAGACACCACACAACATCAATTTCTCCACCTTCATACAAATGTGTATAACAAGGTCCATGAGGGATAGTATGTAAGGTTGGACAATTATACTTATGCAGTGACAGATGCCCATCGCGGAATAATACGCTAGAGATATAAAGTTTCTGATTTTTAGCTTCACAGGAGGATCTGATTATTGTATTAGATGATGGACTCATTAGATTAAGTCTGGTAAATCCAGGTGGTAGATCATCACTCTCCATCAAAATGACAGTGGTATCGGGAATTAATTGATAGTAGAAACTAACCAAGGAGAGTTCACAGGTTACCTTGTGATCTAGAGGCCAGCGCATAAAATCATCATCTGAAGTACTCAGTCTGAATCCCTCACTCTTACTCCCACTCCATTTTATCACACGTTTGTAAAATTTGTGCTCGAGTCTCTGCGAAAGATGATAAGTGTCCATCACTTCCCTCCTGATTCTCACTTCTGTAGGAGTCCCTACCTCTCGACACAGTCCAGTATAGACCGATTCTGATAGTCGAAGTATATGATTCATTCTGAAAAAGTTAAATAGCATAAATCTGAACGAAGTTTTATTTCCGCCTACCTCTTTCAGTCAGATTTAAGGTAACACACAAGTTTTGTAATTATTGCTGTCATAAATAGAATGGACTTTATAAAGGTTACAAATATTTGGCTTGTCCTTGCTCATTAAGGTCAGACGACATGTTCCTCGAAAATATAAATTTTTTTTCCCAAGAATTTTCATTGAAGTATAGCTAATTAAACAAGTTTCCTCACAAAAAATTGAGGTACCTTTCCAGGCATTTGGGCAAGATACCGGGGGGTGAAATTTCTTATATAATCCTTATGGGTAATCTTTTAAATTGCCAATGTCACATTAACTTTAGGTGTATTAATATTTTAAAACACATTGAAAACAATTTAGAAATCACAAGAGAATGACAATTATGAATAATTTTTGATATAATACTACGGTATACAAAACATATATTTGAGGAACGTGTCATCTGACCTTAAATAATCTCTTAAATCTACTTGATTTTCGAACTTGTTTTCACGCAACGTTTTTCGGACACTGGTTCTGACCTACATTTTCCGGATGAGTGACCAGGTTAAAGTTTTTGGTACAGGTGATAGATCTAAGGATGCACACTACCAGGCTTGCTACAGATGCTGGATCTGAACTACATTTTCTGGATGAGTGAACAGGTTAAAACATTTCACCTTTTTCTGTCAATTCCTTTGTTTATCGGGTTATTTTAGTATAATTGTGTACAAAAACCACGAAAAAGTTCTGAAAAATTTTGAAAAAGATTACTTTCAAAAAATCGTAAAAAAAAAACTATTGATGAACTTGTAACAAGGCACCACAAAGCGGATTATCCCCTCGCAAAGAGCATATCCCTTAATAAATCAAGACAGCATTCAACATCAATCCCTATGCAAATTACATCATTTCCGTTTCGAACAAATAAATACACATACACACACGATTGCGCCTCTATATCCCCTCCAACTCCATTGCAAGGGAATGATAAGCAAGTTTTTTTTTTTTTTTCAGGTCTCTCAATGAGTAAGGATTAGGAAACCTGGGACTCAAAAGTTTTCAATAGGTTTTCAAGAGGTATTAAAGTGTTTTTTGAAATTCATAAAAGATAACTAGGTCAATTGACTAAATAAGAACCAATGCTATTTTAACTACTGGTTATACAGTAGCTTCCCACTTAGGGGAAAAAAGAAATTCCCCCTTTAGTGAAGAAAATGACTTTATTTAACATCCATCATGATTCACAAAATATAGATTTTTGTCCCCCCACTTTCACTGAAAGTGGTGGATATTAATTTTGGTTTGTCCGTTCGTCTGTATTTCTGTCTGTCTGTAACACTTTCGTCTCCGCGAGATATCTCGAGAAGTTTTCGAGCTTTTGCAAATGAAATTTAAACCGCAACTCCCTATGGCCTTATGTAGACCCCTACCCCTTTGAGTCAGAAGCTCAAAGGTCAAGGTCCTAAATTGATACATTCTGTGTATGTGTAAAACTTTCATTTCCGGGCGATTTCTCAAGAAGATTTTGCAATGAAATATACCATTTATCTCGAATCCGCCCGCCCTTCTTAAAGTGTCTGAACTCCCCCACCCCACCCCATTCGCGATGATATCTATCTATCTATCTATATCTCTATCTATCTATCTATATTATTATAATTAATATTATTTAGACCGAAGATTTGTAGGGAAAATGCACCCTAACTTCCAAAGTATATTTTAACCTTCCAACGAGTGTCTAGTAATCGTTTTAATATAAAAGAAAAACATGCTTGGATCTATGGGGAGGGGGGGTTCGAAGGGGGGCACTTTAAGAAGGACGGGCGGAGCCTTAGGGAGTTATTGTATAAATATTAATAGCAAAAACTCAAAAGCTTCTTGAGATATCGCCCGGAAATGAAAGTTGTACACACATACAGAAAATATGAATTAATGACCTTGACCTTTGACCTCAAATTAATAGGGATCTTCCTTAAACCATAGGGAGTTGTGGTATAAAATTTCATATCAAAAGCTTAAAGGTTTCTCGGGATATCGCGCGGAAACGAAAGTGTTAAAATAGACCGAATTTTTTGAATTTATGACCTTGATCTTTGACCCTTTGACCTCAAAATCAATAGGGATCTTCCTTTGGCCATAAATTTCACCGCAAAAGCTCAAAGGCTTCTCGAAATATCGCCTGGAAACGAAAGTGTTACAGACAGACAGAACTACAGACAGACGGACGGACAGACCGACCGAAATTAATATCTCCCACTTTCAGCGGAGCACAAAATAACTAAATATAGATAAATCCAGAATTGCATTATACTATAGACGGGAGGTGAAACAGCCAAAATTAAGTTAAGTTTTTTTCTTCCCTTATACGGCTAATAAGATTTACTTCTCTATATTTACATTTGCAAATACTTTTTTTATTGGATGAACGTATTGAGATAAAAATATGTTCAATTTTATCTAATTAGGAATACAGAGGTCATAGCATGACCGAATAACACAGCGGGCTGATATCTTGTCTACATATTTCTGTCACGGTGAAACTGGTTTCGGAACGTCTAAGTTGATGGCGATAAAAACATGAAATAATTCAAACATACGGATTTTTTTTTTCAAAAAAGATTCAACAGATGTTCATTAAATCTTTCTTCGGTGTGAGAATGTTTCGAATAAGCAGTAGTTAACGTAGAGTGCATCGAGGTATATGAAGGTATTTTTTGAATATAAAATAGGATACTTAAAATATTTAAAATATAAGCAAATGTATTTGACAATTATAATTAATAATTCAGTTGCAAAAAGATTTTATAACTTGATAGATTTCTGACAATCTTAATCTTTTTTTGTATTTACAATGTAAATAAAATAAAAAAAAAAAAAATCCAAGAATTTTGAAAAAGAAAATCTTTATAACAGGTATTTCAGAGAACAGATCGATACAGTTATACTCATATAAGATAATACTACATGTAGATAAGGAAGAGGTTTGGTAAGCAGGAAAATCGATCCACAAGAAATTGTCATACCAAATAAGACTATCCAAAATCATAGCTTACAGTTATATTTCGAACAGATATGTTAGTATTTTACTTCCGTTCTTCTTACGCAAATTATATTTTGTAATTAAAAATAAACCAAACATAAATATATCAATTTCAACTACTTTGAATTTGTAAGAGCCGGACATCTAAGGCAAGGTTGGGTCATTGCCAATATTTTCCGATACAAGTAAAGCTTGCAATGAAAGTTTACTTTGATATAGGTGTATTTTGCGCAAATCTTCAGAATATGAGCTAAAAGAAAAATCAAATATATGGTTGAGGCCACCAAAGATTTCAAATGTACAAAATTTTGAAATAATAACTGTTCAAACCACGGTTTTAGTGACAATATATTTTTACATCTTTAAGAGTTGACAATTTTCAGCTACTACATGTACAACACACAATTTAATAAGTTCATATGAAACTAAGCCGTGTTGCTGATGGTACTGTTCTGAACTTTCATTCAGCGAACTACTTTCCTACTCTGATTGCATGAAGTAACATGAAACACCGTTTTATAAATATTTATAAGCTTTTGTCTATTTTACCTTGACAACTAGGACCAAGTGCCCAATCCTACATCCAGAAAATGAATACCGAAGTTCTCTGTATCTCTACTTCCTGTTCAAATTTATCCAATAAAAATGAACTTTAGAAGTTTTCTTAGAATTTTTGCAATATAATATTATTTTAGAAAATTTCATTTTCATTATTTATATTAATATAGAACAGAAAAGTAATTGTAAAAATGTGTTATCCCATGAATGTTCTAAGAATTTTTGCCACGTGCGATACATGACTAGTTGTATTTCAAAAAGAGTATTTATCATTTGTTTTAAACAAAATGTATGTATACAAGTAGTAATTAATTGGTATAGCTATAACCTTAGACATTATATTTAGTCGATGAGGGAATGGTAATGCTGAAAAAAAAACTTTTTAAATAACAAATATATTTTATAGATTTTTATAGTGAGATAAGAAAAAAAAGATTTAATAAGTATTTTATGGAAGGAAATACATAGAAATGGCATGCATATCGTGTTTAATGCTCTTTTGTGCACCACCTATTTTGCTCTAATTACTTTTTACAATTATGACTTGTAAGATTTATTGTTAGTTATTGTAGTTAGCTTTCTTGAAATTGTATTGGCTGGGATTTCTACTATATGACAACACGTCATGTTCTTTAATTGAATCTAGTCAGATTTAAACACTGTTTGCTTGACTTTATACCCTAGCCAATTAAATATTTGTATGTGTTTTATATTTTGTCTGTTTTCGTCATTTATTTGATTAAATGACATTTTCACTCATATAACGTTGTTTCTCATATTTTATAATATATGAGACTTAACAAAAAAACTAGCTGCGAATTGCCAGTTTTTGATTTGAGTTGTACGTAACAAAATTTGTGGATATAAATAATCTTTTTTCTAGCTTAGTTTTTGTCCTTTTTGATTTTCTTCTTCCCTTTTATTAATTTGATTTATCAGATTCCTTTGGTTATTTCCGCTTTTGAGAGTATTCATTTCCATCTTTTGTTAAAATTTATATCTCTACTTTTTTGCGGATGTTATATTTAAACAAAATAAATCTGTATTGCTTTGAAAACCCATTTTCATTTATTTCCTGTTAATATTGTATTAAACTTGTGACATATACAAATGTCAATATTTATGCAGCACTGTTTAGGCTACAAAAAGGCAACAAAAATGACATAATTTGCGATTCAAACTTTGTTAGAGTAATGAACTACATTAAACTAGTCACTGCGTTCATTATGTTCCCCAAACGAAGTTTGGGAACATATTGTTTTTACTCTGTTTCTTATTATTATTATTATTATTATTATTAAGGTCTTCCGTCTTCTACGGAAGACCTTCTTGTTATTCTTCGGTTTCTTTTCCACTGTTTTTCTTATTATTTTTTTTCTTACCGATT